TATAATTTTTTTTTCCTATTTCCAACTTCATTTTAGATAATAGAAATTATTATAACAATTAATCTACTATTAAAATAATATATAAATGAAAGTTCGTTTGATTTATATATTCCTATTATTTCTTTCATATTTTAAACTTCTTTTTATATAATAAAAATTATTATAACCATTAATCTTTTATTAAGTATGTAACGCATATTTCATAAAAGAGATTATATTAATGAGATTATATAAATAAATAAATTTTAAATGAAATCACTCCTAAAGATTTCAAACTTGTTATATAGAAACGCTGACTGCAGGGTAAAATCAACTCTAGTTTTCCTAGCCACTCTTATAAGCTTACTTCACTTACTTCTATTCTTGAGTTCATATTCGATCTCTTATTACTCGGCTTCGCTACTCTTAAAGGTTTTCATTATATTTTCTTTGATTTAGGCATGTCCTTGCTTAACTAATTCTAGTTTTGCTTAAAGATCTCTTTTACATAACAATAATTATTTAGCTAAGCACTTAAAAAACTTTAAAATTCTTTTGGTATATCATTTCTTAAATTGTTATTCCAGCTGTTCTCATTATGTCTATCTTAACTTTTCGCATTTCGAATTCCCTTGTTCTTAGCCCAGTTCCTAGACAATCGATAGCAATTAACGAATGAAGCGCCTTGACACTTGATTACTTAATGTGGCTCAAAGGGATGCCGCAGTGAGCTGACTGACACCAAACATTGTGGCCCACGTGGAGTCACCCCAAAGGCAGCCGTGCGTCAACCACCCAGACGAGGCAGTGAAATGCGCTAAGCGCCTTACGTAATGTCACGTTGGGTAATTAACCCATTCGGCGTGGGGTCTGTCACCCAGCGGAGGAGCTGTGCTGCTTTGTTGCTATGAACTCACCTGCACGTGATGCTTCAGGTAGCCGAGCCGTGGAAATGATTTATCACAGAACTGACACTGATAGGAGCCGTCGCCTCGACTTTTAATCCCCTCCCCTGTCAACTTATCAAACTTGGCGGCTGTRCCATGTCCTTGTCCTTGTCCTGCAGCCAGCTTTGCATCCTTATTGATTTTGCGCAGCTTGTTCGCTATTTTCAGCGCCTGCTGATGATGATAATGATGATGATGATGATGATGCAAATGTGCCGCTCGCTTCGGCTTGCTCAGCTCCTGCTCCAGCTCCGTTTGCTGTGCAGCATCGCCATTCGCCTTGGCCGACTCCTCGCCCGCCTCCTCCGAACCGGCCGACGACTGCTGCTGCTGCGACTGCGACTGCTGCTGCTGCTGCTGCGGCTGCTGCAGCTGTGAGTTGGGCGTCAAAGTTCCATCCGAGATGCTGGGCGAATAGCTCGACGAAGTGTGCGTGCTGTACATATCTGAAAGGCACATAAGAAAACACAATTTATAGGGTATCAAGTAGTTTGTAATTAAGCGCATGGCGTGTGTGGGCAGCGACTGCATCCTTATTAGCTCGCCGGCTCTCTCAGAGGTCTCACTGTGACTAAGACAGGAAATCAAAATTGGTTGCCAACACTTAATTCAATTAACACATGCAACATGTTTTTGGTGTTGCCTCCACCCCAGACACTAGTCAAGCAGATTCGCCTCCCCCACCCCCCCTCTCTCCCCCATCCCCATCGCCATCCCCATTGTCCGTTGATCTCCCACTCTCGCTGACTGTAAATGAGCCGCACGTTTGTTTCATGCAAACTAATTGCGCTCACTGTACTTAAGAGCATTTTAATTACAAGTTCTGACTGCCACTTGACTCCGCATCACACATTAGCATTAGCATCGGGGCAATGAGGGTCACTCCAATAAATACACTGAGCGCAATTGTCGAGAGTGAGAGAGTGTGCTGAGTGTAAGGCTTAGCAGAAGAAGCTGTAGAGTGATCTGGATTCATGGGGAGTATTTATTGAAGAGCTCTGCAGTCATCCATTGTATATATACTTTTATACATGTATATATATAATATTCCCTA